AATGAAACCACAATGTATTTAAAAAAACAAATTCTAACAATGAGAAAACACAAAGGAATTAAATAAAACCGCGAGCAGAATGAATTTGATGTGTGACAGAATGTGACAACAGTTTAGTGTACTGTGAAATGGGAAAGTTGCAAGATATAGGGATAGTTACTATTGTATATTCCACATATTATATTATGTAGCTTACTAGACCCAATCTCATATACAGGGTGTCCCAAAAAGAGCGTGCCCCAACTTAAGGAAATGGAAAAACTTTAGTAAAAGTATGATATGTCAGAGATACGGTTTTTCTTATATTTTTTTAATCCCCCTTTTCGAGCCTATCTCTTTACTGTCTGTACAAAATGAGCAGATATTTTTCGAATTCTTTTTTATGTCATGAAAAATATCACTTGCTCATTTGTAGGGTCATCCATTAGTCTATTATCTCCTTAAGTTTGGAAGGTTTTTTTGGGACACCCTGTGTATGAGAGGTCTTGATTAATTGGTCGACTGACTGGAAATTAATTTTAACGCTTACTTAGCTGCAGAAACAACTAACTTATTATTATTATAACTGACGGAATGTCAAGGTTTTAACTACAACACCAGCACTATTAGATACTATCAAACAATTAATTTACTTGTTCTCAGAACATAACAATGTTACCAGTCCGCCTTGTATAAAAGACAGATATGGTTAATTGAAATTTTGTTTTAGTATAGAAATTATATTTCTGTATCGCAGTTAAATCTTAATACTGTTTAAATTAAGATTTAACTTATGTTCATAAAATATAATGAACATAACTGCCTAAACTGTAAGACCTAAAATGTGAATGCTAATGTGGTTATGCAAAATAAAGTATTGAGTATTGAAAATTTTCCCTCCACTTGAAATCGGAGTCGGGAATTTTGCGTTCAGGAATTAACTAGACTACTGTGGAATACATTTATACATATGTATTTACAAAGAAAAGTGACAAATTTAGTCATATTAATAACAATACAGGGTGTTAGGTAAATGGGTATATGAGCCGACACTAGCCCATGTTAACATGGGCATATAAATGGTATAGTAAAGTCAGAAATTTGATATCATCATTTTATTTTTTTAAATTTTCATACAAAATAAATTTAATAAAATCCGATTTGTATGAAAATTAAAATAATTAAAATGAAGATATCAATTTTCTGACTTCACCATACCATTTANGGGCATATAAATGGTATAGTAAAGTCAGAAATTTGATATCATCATTTTATTTTTTTAAATTTTCATACAAAATAAATTTAATAAAATCCGATTTGTATGAAAATTAAAATAATTAAAATGAAGATATCAATTTTCTGACTTCACCATACCATTTATATGCCCATGTTAACATGGGCTAGTGTCGGCTCATATACCCATTTACCTAACACCCTGTATATTGCCCGAGGCTTCAGCCGCGTGAAATTCAGTTTGTCACAGATCGTCGTAAATTATAGCCTATATGTTATTCTGGGTTATAAACAATGATACTGTAAAGTTTCATCAAAATACGTTCGGTAGTTTTTGCGTGAAAGAGTAACAAACATCCAGACATCCAAACTTTCGCCTTTATCATATTAGTAGGGATTACATAGAATACAAAGTGAACATAACCATACCGACATGTCTCCACGCATCAGGTTTTCACGTGACTCCATCAAAATTCAGTCCAAATCTTAATATACTTTTATCAACATCAGCAACAGCATTACTGCTTTTACTTTTTAAAAACCGGTTCTGTAATGATAAGTGCACTTTTGTTTTATTGCAGTTCGGCTGATTAAAATTTTTGCTACTAGTTTTTTTAGTACTTTATCTAAATCCCTATCGTGATTTTATAATCATAGATCAGAAGTCCGGTTCTATTAGTGTTTACTTTTTAAAAATAATTGGGTGTGGAAGTACTTTTTGTTTAATAAACATACCTGTTGTAATATTCGCAATACGCAACACGTAATTTGTTTCTGAAGCATGTAATCGTATTTCTTTAAAGACCTGTAATAACAAAAATGACACAGACTTGTGAATTCTCAAATTGTGAGGGAATTTGAGAATTCATATTATATCTTCGTTGGGAATAGCATCGGTGACTTTCGGATCGAAAAAGCATCTCTCACACCGTTTGAGACATGTGAGAGCTATGATACAATATCTTTTCATAATGATTAGGATAAGTCTTGCAAACATACAATATTTAAAATATTTATAGTTTCATTTATCAACTACATTTAAGACTTTTTGTTCAAAACCTATCAATTGACTTCCCAGCTCTATTCAGGCACGTTTCGTGATTATTACTTTTCGTAAGTGTCAAAGCAAAGCAAAGCAAAGCAAAGCAAAGCACCATAGTTCAGACATTGGGCTGACCTATTTTTGGTTCATATGTGACACTATGGGTTACTGTTACCACAGTGACAGTGACACAATGGACAGTTACCGCCTTCCAGTCCACTTGAATGAATCGGCTAATTGTAACATAGTTAACTGGTGGGCATAAAAGAGTGGTTCATTTAATTATGGTTCACATATGACACAGTAATGACATAACAGTTAGCAACCGCTTGTTAGTCTACAATGAATTGGCTGTTGTCACCGAGCTATGGCATAGTTCACTGGGCATCAAAGAGTAATCCATCTAATAATGGTTCATATTATGTGATACAGTGTCAAACAGTAACGATAAAACAGCTAGCAACCACTTGTCAGTCTACAATCAATTGGCTGTTGTCGCCGAGCTATCGCATAGTTCACTGGGCATTCAAATGTGACACAGTGTCACACAGTAATGATATAACGGCTAGCAACCAATCGTTTGTCTACTGGAATGAATTAGCTGATGTCACTGGGCTGTAGCATAGTTCACTGGGCATCGAATAGTGGACCGACTAATGATGGTTCAAATGTGACAAAGTAATGACACCTACAAGGTGGACCGACGACATCATAAAGGTAGCGGGAAGGCGCTGGACGCAGGCAGCTACCAACCGGGCAGCATGGAAAGCACTGTTGGAGACCTATGTTCAGCAGTGGACGTCCTATGGTTGAGATGATGATGATGAACGATTAACAGCTAGCAACCGCTAGTCTACTGGAATGAATTGGCTGTTGTCACCTAGCTATGGCATAGTTCACTGGGCATCGAACAGTGGACCGACTAATTATGGTTCATATGTGATACCGTTACGGCAACGGTATGCCATGGCGGTCCGTTGTCATACTTAGCCTTTGAGTTAGCGCGTTAATTACATTTTTCACACATCGCTCTAAACTCGCGATATCGTTGGTAGAATGACGAGGTACCATCACGAAGAGCGTCGTTTGTTACACAGCATAGTATGTGTACTGTTATATTACTACGAATATGACAAGATGGCTGTACAAAAATACTGGGAAAAGTTTGAGAACTTGACAAACTTAGACTGAAAAAAGATCCATATAGCTTTCCTAGGCCTTATGTCTCGCTATAGTTGTCTTCAGGCTGTAGCTGAAAATCACTGGTTTGTTATGTTTAAACCGATGGCTGAATTGGCTGAGCTATTGCCGTTCCCCCCCGTGCCGTAAGCCGTGTGGTGACGGCAGAGTAGAATACATTTGTCACCAACCCCTACTCTTCCCGCGGGTGTCGTAAAAGGCGACTTAGGGACTACACATCAAACAGAGAATGGGCAGCAGCGCTCTCTGAAAAACATCAATCTTTTAAACTGCGATCTCCAACCCGCCTGCCTAGCGTGGAGATTATGGCAAAACCCTCCACTATAGTGGAGGAGGCTCATAGTCCAGCAGTGGACTGTAAAGGGCTGTTGATGATGATGATGATTGCCGTTCAGTGTTGCTGAGACAACACTCAACACACAGACAACTTGATGTCCTTTGGTACTTTCTGTTCCTAATGTGTGTTTCCAGTAATGCAAATAAAGTGTATCTATCTATCATTTGCCACAGAACATTGTATCAATCAAAGGTTTGCGCAGCAGAGGTGCGCTCACGCACCGTTAGCGCTGGGTATTTGGGTCGGCGCACGCGCCCGCTACAGTATGCCACAGGCGAACCAAGGCATAGGCGGGAAGAGTTTGTTATTATTTTAATTTTAGCTTAATTTAGGACAAATTTTGCCTTTGTTGTGGCCAAAGGATTGAGTCGAGAGTTCGGTCCTCTTTCCAGAAAAAAGGTCTAGTGCCCACCCAAGTGGTGTTCCTTTCCACTAATTTCAATTTCAACATTGAATGCACTAGTGTTTTCTGAACAATCACAACGATCGTTCAACGAAGTACTGCCACTATCAGGTTTGAAGTGTAAGCAGCAGTTGGTCGGAAGAAGCTGCACAATTAGGGTTCTGTGTCCCAAATTGTAATGCGAGAACTCCCTATTTTGATTTGCCGGGATAGGATGCGTGCCGTGATATACTCTTATCCACGTCAAAATGTATGGGCAAAATCGATAAAATGGTGTGATAACCCCTAGGCCTACTGGACTATCTATTTACAGTGAACCAACATAAGCATAGTAATACCTAGTGGTGTAGAAGGGAATATTAGTACATACAACATACGACCCTAAACCGCTAATTCTCCTAACTTGATCTCCCCCCGCGCAATCTAGGATGTTATGTGTAATGTACGTGACATCTCGCCGGCTGTCGGGAATGTTTTCGGTTTTAATGCCCGCGTTATGCGTGTCAACGCGCCGATTGTGCGCGTGCGCCGCGGGAATAAAAATGATGCTTTGTTTGAGTTATGTGCATATGCGTAAAGGGGGGGGGGTCTAGTGCCAACCCTAGGGTGTTGGATGATATCGCATCTTTAGGTCCTTCAGTCTCCGCTATAAAAGTTCGTTCGTTTCAGCCTAATGAGGTCCACGGCTAGACAAAGGCCTCTCCCAGGGATTTCCCGGAAAGACCGGTCCTGCGCCGCCCGCATTTCTCCTAGCTATAAGACTACAATCTGGTAAACATTTTTAGGTACTAAAGTCAAAAACTCACCGTTAAAATAATCTTCCTTTCAGAAACGCCGATATCTGTAAAGATAAAAATAACATTACAACTTGCAATTCGTGACTTAAAATAACAAAAACGAAACGCATTTCCAGTGAAAAAAAAAAACAATAGAATGAATGATTCAAATTTCAAACGCCGAACGGGAGCAGGTCAAATGTCAAAAGCATCGTTCACTCAGTTCGGTTCGGTCATCAATTCAAACGAATGACATTGAATTATCGAAAGCGGGCAAGGTCGGGGACCACACGAAGGTACGTTTGTCCCGTTTGACTAGGGTTACCATTCGTTTTTCAATTTTCAATTTGTCGGGAATTTTCACGACAGATGCACGAACGTCTGCCTAAAAATACTAAAAACTATATTATCCGAGATTGTTTGACAGAAAATTTAAATTTCAGTCTATTAAATGTCCTCTTTAACAGATAGATAGCGATTATCCAATGTCAGTTGTAATTAGTTTGCAAGCTACGGAAAACTGAATATTTTTTTCGCATGCTAGAGTTGCCGAATGTTGTTGGATGAATAATTATGACTCCCTCCTTCATCAAGAAAGCGGTAGTTCAAATTTTACATTGTTTTTAGATAAAGTTTAAAATGATGTGGTTACGAACTGCTTAAAGGGTTAAGATGGTGACCCTACGTACACCATAACGGGGATGACAGAGACGTGCGCAGGAGTTTCGGGCGCTCAGATGGACGGAACACCAAGAAAGTTTATGATTGATGGAGGGTTTTTGTTCTGACTGTAGAATAATATTTTCAAGCAAAAGTATTCTGAACGTGGATTGGCAGACAAGTGACGTTTAATGTTTATATTGGAGCAAGTAAGTGAAAAAGGCACAATGTGATATGTTTTTTTTTTGCCATTCCTAATGTGATAATATGCATTCTGCGGATAGGTTAATTTGGCAGGGATGACGCTGTCAAACTCACATATATTTGGCCATAAGTAATATAGTCATGTAGAGTACATATAGTCTATCCAATATAGCTTGATTAGAATGACAGCTGCCATCAAAGGTAACGACATAACTTTGTAGTAGCGATCAATGAGAGCTAAATATTGGCGGACAAGAAATAATTCACGTCTAGGACCTACAAACAATATTTTCGACGACAGTGCTTCCAATAAAAATGTTAATTTCGTGTAAATGCAGCGTTAAATTACTCCAATAAGTAGTAATTCGAAATTATAAAAATCAAGCTAGAGTATTAACGACGTCTCTACAAGGTTATCTCGAGTTACAAAAATGTTAGTGTCCCAACACTAACATTTATGTCATATCGACAAATGTCATATTAAATTAAAACTAATTTTTTAACATAGGTATTTAACAAATTTTTTTTCTAAATAATTTTTTAACATAATTATTTAAGACAAGTTATATGTTTTTCTAAATGTTCACTATTAAAAACCAAAAAACATTTCATTCTTAAATAATCAAACATCGGAAATCAATCACTATTAATTTTTTTGGTATTCATAGCACCGTTTGCTCTAGAAGAGATGCCCACCGCCCTCTAGCGAGAGGAAAAAACCACTGAAGAACACTGATGATAATGACTACGACTTAGGTTGTACACCCTTGACATGAATTTTAAATTTTACTGTCTTTAAATTTAAATCATAATTGTCATTTTTATGAATAAAGATATGAAGAAAAATTGGGTGCATTTTTATATCATTTTTTCGAAAACTTATCGATACATCTATGTGAACCGTACGAAACATACCCAGCACTAGTCACATTCGTTTGACAGCCGTCATTCTAATCAAGCTATATTGGATAGACTATAGTTGTAAGTACCGAGGACCTGTCCTGTTTTCACCTCCTTGAATTCCTATGAAATTCTACAAACATCTAAGTAAATCTAAGGACGTTTCAATCGAAGAATATGCTTTGAGAATCGCCGCCTTACCTACTAGGTATTGAGGTCATGTCACACCTCTATAAAATCAACACTATGCAGTCGTGATAAGTGTCATATTTGCAATATTTCGCACTCTTGTCGCCAGTATAGTAGCCGATAGATTTAATGTATTGTATACTTTAAGTACAGGACATAAGGGTCGTTATTGAGGTAGCAATGTAATTAAATGATGATAACCGCCATTACTGCTGTAATTGTTCTGGACCGAGTCCGGTTAAGAGATGGCGTCTTAGATGTATGTCCTCTATAAAGTTAATAGTTAAAACCAACATGCTACCTATTCATCAGTATCATCAGGTCATTTAGTCTTCATTGCAGGAAGAAAATCTTCTAATTGACCAAGCAAATGGAGGTTTTGGCCTACACCCCCCACACTGGCCAGATGGGTTGGGAAGGGCTGATGTTTGCTTATTTCTCCCATAGTCGATTCTTATGACATCCATGGGAAGAGTCAATGGTGCTATTCTATTCTGCCAGAACATCATACGATGGAGGTTTTATCTTTTGCCAGGATTCGTAGGTGACAAAGACTTGTATGTACAGACATCTGCACATCAAACAATACATTGTTGTCGCAAAATGGTGCCTATTAAAGCTTGTTCCCACAGCAATCCAGTTTTGCAGGAACCAGTAATCCAGGATTGGACAAAACTGGACTGTCATGTGAACATGCACATGTGTGCCTGAAACTTCTGAAAGTTAATTAACAAATTCGAACAGATCGGGTTTTGGCGCGATACAATAAACGGAATGTTCGTAATTCGTATGAATGAACATTGATCTTACAAAGCAGGATTCTGCACAAAACCGTCCTTGCAAAAAATTATCCGTGGGAACAAGCCTGTAACTATAGCGTTTGATGCGACAGTCTTCGTCCAACTCACATCTAACCCCATTCACCAAAGTCCGGGAGTGACAAACCCACGCTGCGCGTAACTATTTAGCCAATTACGACCCGACGGCCGACGACCGTAAAAACGCGTCGGTCGCACGCCAAGTGAGCCAGTGGGCCGGCAAAAACGCGGGTCAGTTGTAGGGTGAGAAAATGAGTCAGGAGACACAATTAGATGGCTTCAAGAAGATTTTATTCACGATGTACATGGCATAAAATTGTTAGAAAAATCACAGATTGAAGTAATTATAGGGCATTTGTGTACCAAACCCTCGAATGCAAATGCTTATAATATCAATGTGATTGCAAAAAAGACAAGATTCTAGTAAATCTACGTCTTTTTTTTTTTTTTTTTTTTTTTTTTTTTTTTTTCTATTTATTAATTTAGGGACTTTTACATTGTATGTCAGTCCCATCATAACCTAATCGTAAACTAAATAACCAAAAAATTAAAAATAACTAAACAATAAAAAGAACGAGTAGCTGTCACTGGAGAATCACGGAAACCATGTCGCAAATAAGTTTAGCAGCATCTGATGAAGGGTTGGCTAAAATGCTTTGAAATACTCCTAAATCTACGTCTTGTTTGGGACAAAAATGTGGGGCAGTGCTGAAAAGAAGCAGCATCGTAAGAAGTTTGGTAAATATTTTAATTCTTCGACATGAGACACGTTGGTGTATGCATGCCATGTGAAACTTTGAGGATGAATGTATTTTTGTTATTCACGTTGTACTGGACGGATTTTAACGAAACTGCAATGTTAGCTTACACACCAGAAGTACCAGAACAGGCTTAGTTATCGTAGAAGTGACATAACTTTGTGTGGATCAACAAGCATTGACGCAACGGACCACTCTACATCGCCAGGAGTCCTCTTAAAGTATTTTTATGACAAGCCCAAATGGCTATTATGGTTAATACTCTAGATTTTCGGTGAAAACAGTAAAAAATCAATTGCATCACGCCTACAATAAAAATCGAAGCAAACCTCCGTCGTGCAAAGGCAATCGTAATTTGCCTACCGGTGTGGGGCCATAAAAAACGCGGCGATCGCACGCGCCGCACTGGGTCAGCCCGTGTGACGAATCACGCAACACGACCGTCCTACAGCCCTGGTTATGGGGTGGGCGACTCAGTGCTAGCGGGGAGCGGGAGCGATTTTAAACGCTCTTGCTTTTATCATAAAAATGTTTGTTCTGAAATTGGGAAACCAGGCATTGACAGAATCACCGCGTGACACTCTATGAGCTTCAACGGTGTACTTAATTCTTAATCTGGTAGTAAATGGTAAAACATCATGCCATAGTATCTTTTAAGTAATGCGGTCGAAAGAATATCGACGACCAGACTAATTTTTTTTTAGCAAAATGACATTATTCAATTCAACTACCACAAGATACTGTGTTAGATTATTTGTGTGTTTGTGCCTATCCTGAGGACAACGAAGCTTTATTGACCCACAAGCCACAACACAGTCTTCCTAAAACTCCTAAATTTGTATTTCAAAACCAAAATCGCTGTTACTGAAGCCACCGCCAATCACAGCGAAATGAACTCGATTTCCATCAAGTTTAACTGCGTATGACCGATGCATTACTGTTAGGCGAATTTGTGGAGTTATGTGCGTTTGTCACGAGAAATTTCGGTTATATGGGATTCATTATCAGCGAGTACTTATCCTCAATGAGCTCACCGTTAGAGTTGGACACTCTAGTCCTGGATTTAATAAGAACCAACAGAAGAAAAATGTTGTGAGTTTCACTGTAGGCTTGAATTATGTACGAAGTCAATCTGATAGTCAGAAAAGAAATCACGTAATAGAAGAAGATAGGTACTTACCTAATTATTGGTGGACATACTCTAATAACAAACAAGTACATAATAAGCATGTATCAATTGATTTACGGGATCTCAAGCAAACTAAAATATAAATATTGTTCTTTCTTTCTTTTCTTTTAAATGACCATTTTTAAACATAATTTTTTTAAATAGATTCTTATCATGTATCAGCACTTTTTTCTCAAGACTTAAATAAATTACTGCGAACATTATCGAAATGTTAAGACACCAATCAATAACCGGCTGTCTGTCACCAAACACATAAAAAAGACGGCCATGTTTTTTTGCTAATTAATTTTTGCGCCGACTTAGTCGTGACTCGTTAAGATCGGTTGACCAACAGTAGAAAATGAGTT